ATGTTAAGTGCGTGCTTCTGTTAGTTTGCATGCAATAGCTCATTAGTACAAGAGGTAATGCATCAATCCAATTAAGTTTAGTACTTTCACATATTTTGTTATTTTTGGCCTTGATATTTCCATTAACCCTTTCGACGCACCCTTGTGCCTGTTATTTTCTTAATTGTTGCAATACTTGTTTTACAGTTTTTAGTTTAATTGCCGACCCATTATCTGAACTTATTTCTGATGGTATTCCAAATCTAGGATTTAATTATCTTGTTATAAATGTAATTACTGTTCCTGCTCCCAGATCTGCCGATGGTACTGCCTCCACCCACCTGCTAAATCTGTCTATGATCACAAGCATGTATTTATTTCCCTTGTACTCACTTTATCTTCTCCACATAGTCCATTACCAAATGCTTAAATGTCCTTCTGGTACTGGTATATGGCCTATTGGTGTCGCTATCCCTTTCCTCACATTGTATTTTGCACAAACTTCACATGTGGACAAAAATTCATCCACCATTGCATACAAATAAGGAGACCAATATCCTTGTTGTTGTACTCGCTTTATCTTATCCACATAGTCCATTACCAAATGCTTAAAGGCTCTTCTGGTACTGGCATATGGCCTATTGGTGTCGCTATCCTTTTCCTTACATTGTATTGGGCACAAACTTCACATGTGGACAATAATTAATCCACTATTGCATATAAATAAGGAGACCAATATCCTTGCTTTTTAATTTTCCTTATCACTTGCTTTTTAATTTTTCTTATCACTTCCCCCCTTGCGCAATGGTCCAAACCATGCGCATCTGCAATAAGAATATTCAAAAGTGAAGTAGGTGCAACCATTTTTCTTTCATGTGTACGCCAGATCTCTTGTGCATCTTTTTTAGCTCTGCTTGTTGTTGAATTCGAAAGGGCCTGCTTGTTCTTGTATTTGAATTATATCCTTTAATTGAGGTTGAGGTTTGATAAGTACTATATGTGCTAATACTGCTACTTGACACCCTGAAGCTTTTTTAGCTTCTATATTTTCTGCATTGTTTCCCTTAATATTATTAATAACATAATCCTTTACCTTCTTGTGTGCCTGACATTTGATTATTGCTAGTCTTTTTGGTAGCATCATAGCAGAGATTAATTGCCCTATTTGTTTTATTTTTTCTTTCTTTCTTTATTTGTATTTATTCATTTATTTATTTATTTATTTTTCTTGATCATATATCATTGTGCAATGAAATTCTGTTTTTGATAGCTGTGATTCAGGAATTTGTACTTCAATATACTTTACCAACTTATTGACTGTCTGTCTCACAT